CAAAAAAAAGATCAACATCTGGAACTGACTTTGTCCACCTAAACCCTGCCTGTCAGCATTCTTGGCTTTCTTGGCTTTCAACTCATATACTTTATTCCTTGTAGCTGTTTTCAAACTAGATTTTTTATTTTTTTTTATTTGAGCACACATTTTTCCGGCTTTTTGCCCACCCACACACACACACACACACCGACCCACCAACCCCGTACTACACAGCTTTACAGGGGGGGGGGACTTTAAAGTGGGTATGGCTTTTTCCAGCAGCAGACAGAAGGGCTATCTTTAGATTGAGATTTCAATACAGTCTGTGTATACAAAATTACAATAAAAGTTGTGTAATTCTAGGTCTAAATTGTAATGGGTGTCATGATTGGCTAATGGAATTAACCCACATGCAGAACACCAAACTGGAGACAGAGGAAAAGTTAACAAGGTTTATTTAAAGGGAGACACACAGAATAACATGGACTGGTTCTGGTACAGGTCCGGGTCTGGGATCACTGAAATCTGGAGAGAGGGAGAGTTTGATTAGCTAGGTAGTTAGATGGGTTGATGAGTGGGTAATTTCTAAATGTACCTTGAAGAGGTTCTGACAGATCCTTGAGGTGGGGAACTGGTTGAGTCCAGAGATGGTGGAAGTAACAGAGAGCTCAGCAGCAGCAGCGTCTAGCTTCTGGCTAGAGAGCCTCAGACGTGGGTCTTGTTCCTAGCTCTTCCCTGAGAGCTGAGGTAGGAATCCAGACTGAGATCTTCAGGTTTAGTTTACTAGCTCTCCCCTGACAGCTGAAGGAGGAATCCAGACTGAGATCTTCATGTTTAACTTCCTAGCTCTTCCCTGAGAGCTGAAGGAGGAATCCAGGCTTGAGATCTTCAGGTTTAACTTCCTTGGGCAGGCAGGCAGGTTTCCAGGTAAAGCTCACCCAGAGCTTCAGACTTCAGTCAGGCTTTCTGTGAGCAAAGAAAACAGAGGCAGGTTAGAATTCAGTTTCTCTCTAGAGCCTACTGAAATTCACCAGATAAACAGGGGCTTGGGTTTGCTAACCAAACTTGGTCAACACTCCGGCATCGAAGGAAGGTCTGACTGCTGCTTATGTAGCCCTGGTGGGCTGATGAGCTTCAGGTGTGCTGGAAGCTCCAGCCCAGGAGACCCACAGCGCTCTCTGCTGGAGACAGATGGTAACTCTCCAGATCCCAACAGTAATCCCAGTCCTTAACAGAAAACATTAAAACAGAAGAGGATCCTCAGCACCCTCAGGTGGGCAAGCCTCAGGATCCCAACAATGGGAGTCACTGAGGTCGTTCTTGGCCTGCAAATTAACCTAAAACTGGCCCATGCCTCTGCCATAGGGAGTCGTTAGGGTCGTTATAGTCCTGTCTTATAGGAGCGATGTTCTGACCACCTGCATGGGGATGAGAATCAGCTCTAGAACTGCGTTATAGGTTTTTGATAGCTGAAACCCCCCACTCTGTTTAAGGTTGGTTTTGCTCTCTTAACGTAAATGGATTCCTTCGCACCCCTTTCAAACCACCTGTCTCTTTTTTCCAATATGTGAAGATTCTGGTCCTTTTTTATTAAGGTGTAGGTGGAAAGTAGATTCTTGTCTGGAGGAGGTAGCTCGTCTGTGTTGAGCCATGTGTCTGTGCAAAATGAGAATAATTTTCTTACAATTACAAATCAAAATTTCAGTTCTTTATTTTAAAGGGCTTACACTTTATCATGACTCTCCCCCATATTTTGTTATTTAGAATTGATATTTGTCAAGTTTACATTTTTGTAATGTGTTTTGTAAGATCTGTTATAAATGTAAAAACCATCATATTCCTGTGTAAAGTTGTGAACTTGGCAAAAAGATCCTTGTTTTTGAGTGATCAAGTATCAAGAAAGGGTGATGTCTAAGAAAGTGTTCTATTTGTAAAATATGTCTCTCATGTGGGTTTGTCAAGTGTAAGTTGATAAAAAAAGGCAAAAATTCACACAAAGTGGGGCTGCTTCAATCCTGTACAAGTATTGAAATCATTAAAATGTGATTGTATGGAATGCTAAGGCTTGCTGATAAGTACATCAACATATCAAAACTTATCAGCAGCTTATCACTTCATTAAAATCAGTGTTGTGCCTGAACGCGTTCATTGAACGAAAGGTCATGAACTCGTTCATATTTTGGGCGAACGTGAACTGAACGTACTGTATTACAGCCTGATGAACGTTATTGTGAACTCGTTCATTCTGGTGTCTGTGAACAGCACACTCTCTCAGTTCAACTTCGTTCAATAGGTTGCCAAATTTCTATAGAGCCCTCCAGGCGAAACCCCGGCTAAATCACACCGTAAACAGGCCTTAATATGTAGCGGGAAAAACACCCAATCTGGCAACACCAGCTACCAGTGTCGTAGCCTACAGCCGCGTGCGTCATCAAAACAAAATGCAGCCTAGAAGCCACAGCAGCATGGAGGCGACAAGGCAGCAGATTCAACACTGGATATGAAGATGAAATCTGATGCACAGTTTCAGTGTTACAACTGATAAAATAATTGCTGTCTGTGGTTCTACAGTAGTGTAATTGAGCAATATATGAAAAAAAAACTATGAACTAGTTCATTTTTTGGAACTGTGAACTTAGTTTAAAATTTTGAATTATGAACTATGAACTGAACTAGTTCATTTTAACTAGTTCATGAACTAGTTCATGTGTGAGCTGAACTTTGAACTAGTTCACGTAGAAAGAGAACTTTCCCAACAGTGATTAAAACATATGTCTGATGAAGGCAGGCCAATGTGGAACATTATAACCAGTTTTCTGCTTCAACCAGAAAACAGAGCGCTAAATTCTAAAACTGTATTGCTCCAGAGAAAAAGGACAAATTCAGGTACTTTGCATGTCAGGAATTTCAGCGCTGCAAATAAATGACTAGATAGTGTTAAATTATACAATCAAGGAGGTTGATGACTTTACTCTACAAAATAAAGTTTTAAAGACTTTTTTCAGGTGCAATCAAAGATTAGTGTCATAAAGTTCACTTGCAATTTTTTCTGCACTTTTTTAGGAAAGTACATGAGAACAATGGATTTTGGTTGTCTAAATGTTCTCACCATGGTAGCGGAGACATTTTTTTTTTTACAGCAGTAAGTTGTTCTAGTCAGGTTACCATGCCCTCAGTTTGGTGAAATGTGATGAGTCATTTTATATCAGTTTTAATGCAAATAGTTTAGTTTAGTTTAGTTTAGTTTAGTTTATTTAGGATCCCCATTAGCTGTAGCAAGCTACAGCTATTCTTCCTGGGGTCCAACAACAAAACTGTTGAGAGCTGGAGAAATCCCATCTTTCTCCAGCAGAGTCCGCCGTGGATCCTCTGAGGGAGCTCCCTGCACAGCTGCAGCTCGTCAAGATCATCAGAGGATCCACTACTTAAGCTGTCTTCAGACCTTGCCTCAACGCCGCAGTGTTGTTCCAGTTGGTCAGCGCTAAAGCCTAGATCCTCTGAGTATCTCCATGACTTTGAATCCAGTCTGGATTCTAACTATTATCTCTGTCTTCCAGGAAACCTGTGCCTCCTCTGAGAAAGCTCTGGAAGAGCTAACCTGCCGAGCCGACCCTCTGAGCCAAACCCTGAAGATCCCTCTGAGAAACCTCAAGCAGCTCAGGATTGAGCTGGGACTTCCAAGCCAAGGTATGTTCTAACAAGACGTGAGACGCTGAAGCAGCTAACGGACTCTGCTGATGAACCCTTCTCCAGAACCAACAGTGACTCTCCCAAAGTTAACCTCAAGAACCCTCAAGGTACAATCAGTGAACTTCTGGAAGTAAAACCCTGCCAGCAAACCGTTAACTGTGCTGTCTCTCACGCAGACTCCGGTGAACCAATATCCAGGCCCCGAACCAGAATCAGTACATTCTGTATGTTTGTGCTTAAATAAACTGTTGAACTTTTCATCCTTGTGTCCGTCAGTGGTGTTCTGCATAACTGGGTCGCCTTCAGTGAACCCATCATGACAAAAACATGAAATAAAAAAATTACAAATGAAATAAAATTGTGTTGACATTAAAACAACATCTCCCATAATCTATACATATACATATATACATACACACATACATATACATATATACCCATATACATAAACAGAAACAATCCAAACTAATCAAAACAAACTACAAAGCACAGCAAGTGAAGAAGACAGTCCTAATCGTGTTTTACCTCTATATTTAATAAATGTTCTTTCAATGATTTTTTAAATTTCCTTAAATCAGTTATCAGTTTAATGTAAATAGTTATCTTTAAGTTGTTAATTTTTTTATGTTGAATAAATCAAACTATTGATTATTTTTATGTAATACCAGCTGATTGCAACAGGAGTCTCTCAATTTTGTGCATTCTAACACTGAATTAAAATGAAATGCTTGGTGTTAGCTTTGTGTCAACTTTTTATTTAGCTTAAAACAGAAATACAAAGAAAGATTTAAGACATGTGCATTAAAGTCAAATCATGACTTTTTCCAGTTGAATTTTCTCAGTTGAAATTAGAAGTTGATCTTTCTAATTCCACATGAAGAATTTGAGTTTTAAGACGAAAAAATATATTTTTGCAAAAGTTAAAGATCGGTTATCATTGCATTGAATCACATTAAAAAACTCAGTAGTTGTCCCTGTAAAATAAAAAAATTTATTATTTCAAAAGGGGTTTTGTGTCTATTTGTAACTGCAGGATAAATTCTGGAATAGAAAACAATGCTTTAATTATAAATCACCACTTTTTTTTTTATTCCTAACAGCATAGTGTTCGTATGGAACATCAAGAAAATTGGGCGAATGGGAGAAACCATAACTGTGTGATGCCTCAACTAATCTATATTGTTTAAGTGTCAGATATTTAAAAAAGGGAAGAACTTCAGCAAATAATATAGTTTTAGTAGAGGTGGGATACTTGCATTTCTTTTAGTTATGCTTTTCTGTTTACATGTGACTAAATTTAGGTCTATTTTTTCTTTAATGCAGGGTTTTTACAATATGTCCATGTCACAGGAATCACTTTGCAAAATCCGAAGTGTAATAATTAGTTTAATTGATTTTCTAAACCAAGAGTAGAAAAATGTATAAATAATAGGGTTTAGACAGGAGTTAAAGTCAAATAAAAATATCACCAAAGCAGTGGAGGAGGCATTAAGTAAAGCATCTTGGCCTGTAAGTGTGACACAGAAATATGGTAACAGACATATCAGAAACACAACGACTACAACCCCGAGGGAACCAGCTACTTTAATCTCAGATTTCTTGACATTTACAGAACCATGGAAGGTTATTTCTGCAGTGTGAGAATGTATAGCTCGAATCTGAGAAACTGCCACCACAAATATTCTGAGATACAAAACTACTATTATAATGATGGGGACTATAAAGGACAAAATAAGATCTACCAAACCACTGATGTAATTTATCACAATGACACATTCACCTAAGCAGGAATTATACATGCCCGGTTGTTTGAAGTTCTCCATCAGATTAAGGCTCTGAAACACCATAGACCAGGTCCAACACAAGGATACAGAGATTTGCACTTTTTTCTGTGTTATTTTAGTGTTGTAATGGAGGGGGTAACATATTGCTACATAACGATCAATAGATATCATCACCATGGTTCCTATTGAGGCAGTGGTAAAAACATAAGCCAGAAAGTGAGATATGACACAGAAACTGTCACCCAGAAGCCAGCAGCCATTTATGTATAGAATTTGAAAGAACATAAGGAGACCAATAAAGAAATCACAGACAGCCAGAGAAAGAAGGAGCAGGTTGGTGGGAGAGTGGAGCTTCCTGTCGAGAAAAACAAAAGCAGATTTACTTTCTCTTGTCTGTGTAATCCGTTATTTTTTTGTAAAAAAGCAGAGTTGCTCTACTACAAAACCCCAAACCAAAGCAGTTCTAATTACTAATTAGAACTCTAATCACCCAAACTAATATACAGCAGTTCCAATCATTGTTAAATTTGATAACTCATCTGAAACCTGAAGTGTGAGATAGAGATGATGACCAGCAGATTTAGAGATGAGGTGAGCAGAGAGATGGAAAACACCAGAATGTAAGTTATCATAGTTTCAAAGTAAGTACGTTTTGGTCTGCTGCATGAAGTGTTAAAAAATTGTGGAAAGCAGAGCTCAGTCTCCTCCATTATCATGGGGCAGCAGCTCCTGGATAGTGATGAGGCTCTATAAGTTGATTTAACTGGCTGGTCTACTTATTCTCCACCTCTCATTTCTGTCCCCATGGAAACCCATGTGATGAGATCGTGTATAGTGTAGCTTCGACATTTAAATTCTTGTTTCTCTCATACAAAACCAATGACAAACCAAGAATGAAAAAAAACAAAAATAGACCAGCAGTGTTTTTTTTTTTTTTTACAATGTTGTTGAATGTTTATTTGTGTTTTATTTATTTGTGTTTAACTTTACATTAATTGCTAAAGAACACCCATATAATTCAATTTATGTTGGTTTATTTATATTGCACCACTAGTAAACCTGCAGATTCAGAGCAAAGTGCTCTGTTAGGAACATAAGGAACAATCAGATCTCTGATATCAGATGGAGCTTGGCCATATAAAGCTTTATATGTGAGAAGGAGGATTTTAAATTCTATTCTGGATTTAACAGAAAGCCAATGAAGAGAAGCCATGATAGGAGAGATATGAGCTCTCTTTTTAATTTTCATCAGAACTCTAGCTGCAGCATTTTGGATCAGCTGGAGGTTTTTAACTACAGTTTGTGGACTTCCTGATAGGAAAGAATTGCAATAGTCCAGCCTTGAAGTAACAAATGCATGGACTAGTTTCTTAGCATCACCCCTGGACAGGATATTTCTAATTTTTTGCAATATTCCACAGATGAAAGATAGAGATATAGGTCTATAATTGACCAAGTCATCTGGGTCAAGAGACAGTTTCTTAAGCAAAGCTTTAATTACAGCAACCTTAGAAGCCGTTGGTACTGCCTTTGTCCCTGTAACAGAGACAGATTAATCACATCTAAAATGCAGGACGAGATCAAGGGGAATACTTCCTTAAATAACCTGGTTGGATCTGGATCTAACATACAAGTTAGACTTTAGACTTTTAGTCGTCCCCAAGGGGAAATTATTTTCCACATACACAGAGCTCGTTTACACAAAGACATGAAAAAGACACCCCAGTAAACACCAGCACAAGTACAAGACGCGATACGAGACATGATACACTCAATGGGGCCTGTTGTTTAAAAAGGTGATGGCTGAAGGGATCAGGCTCCTTCCAAAACGGGCCCTTCTACACCTGAGTGCCCTGTACCTCCGTCCAGAGGGCAGGGGTATGAGGTAGTCCTGTAGTGGGTGAGTGGGGTCCCGTTCTATGGAGAGTGAAAAAACGTCCAATGGCCTGTTGATTTGCGTCTGTGAGGTTGGGTGTGGGGAGTCCAATGATTTTAGCAGCTGTGCGTGTGACCTTTGTGAGTTTGGTTTTGTTCCTAACAGTGAGAAGTTTAAAGAAACAAGTAGAGCAGTATAACAGGATGGGCTGAATAATTGCTTTGTAAATAAGTAATAACAGATGTGGTGAAACATAGAGTCCTTTTAGTTTTCGGATTATGGAAAGTCGTTGTTGGCTTCTTTTATGAATGTCAGTGATGTGATGGTCAAATGTGAGTGAGCTGTCGATTGTTACACCAATATATTTGAAGCTGTCCATCATTTCCACTGATTGATTGTTTATATGAATTGGTTGCTGTGGTCCAGGGGGGTTATATATGAGTTCCTTTGTTTTACTGACATTGAGGTGCAGATGGTTTTCTGTGCACCATCGGGTGCAGTAAGTGATGTTGCTGCATAGTCCATAACTGAGTTATTGTCATTGAGTAGAGCCAATATATCAGTGTCATCTGAATATTTGAGGTATTTGATGTTCTGAGAGGAGCTTGTATTGTCATTGGTGTAGAGTGTGTGGAGGAATGGGCTCAGGACACAGCCATGTGGTGCACCAGTGTTGGTGGTGAGAGCAGAGGATGTGGTCTGGCCCAGCCGTACTACCTGCTGTCTGTTGCTCAGGAAGTTGTTGATGAGGTGAATCAATCTGGTGGGAATGTTGAGTTGTTGGAGTTTCCGGATCATCAGTTGCCTCTGGATGCTATTAAAGGCCGAGCTGAAGTCCACGAAGAGTAAACGTGCAAAGTGTCCAGGAGAGTCGAGATGTTGGAGGAGGAGGTGCAGCAGGCAGGCTACAGCGTCCTCCGTGCCTCTCCTGGCCTTGTATGCAAACTAGAGAGGGTCTAGTTGTGCACTGACAGCTGGCAAGATGGCTTTTAGCAGTAGCTTCTCCAGGCCTTTCATTATTATGGAGGTGAGGGCCACTGGGCGGTAGGGGTTAAGTTCTGTGGGCCTCGGCCTCTTTGGTACCGGGATTATTGTAGATTTTTTTCCAGATGGTTGGTATTGTGGTGGTGAAGAAGACCTCTTTGAAATGGGAGTGAATGACAGGGGCAAGTTCCTGGGCGCAGCTCTTCAGCACCTTTGCAGAGATGAGATCTGGACCTGGGGCCTTACCCAGCTTGCACCTGCTGAGCTGAAGCCTCACGTCCTCTACCGTGAATGGGACTTGCTCATCCTGCTCCCCAAATGGAAGTGCTTGTAGGAGTCTCTCACACTCGTTTGAATAATCCACCGTGTCAAAACGAGCATAAAAGTCATTCAGTTCCCCAACAAACTGTAAAAACTGTTTCCTAGAATTTTGCTTCAGAGTGCGCAGGTCTACATTAAACCAAGGATCCAGTTTTCTATTTTAAGGTAGTTTTTTTTTTAAGGGTCTAAGGCAGTACGCACAGAACTAGCTACCCCATCAACAAAATTATCAACCTGTGATGGGAAATAAACTAAGCTTTTGCACTCTGCAGCACTGCTCAGTGACATAGAGCATAGAGAATGTGAAACAGATTCTTTAAAATTTATAGCTTCACTATCTGATAATGATCTGCTAAAGTGAATCCTTATGGGGGGGGACTCTGTTAAAGTAATCCTGAAGGTTATTAAAAGTGGTCAGAGAGGACAGGGTTGTGAGGAAGTACTATTTCTTCACATTCTGAACAAAGCCAATAGCATCTAAGATATCATTAAAGGCTGCTCTTAAACTATCACCTTCAATGTCAGCATTGATGTTAAAATCCCCCACTATGATAACCCTGTCAGTATTCAACACCAAATCAGAGAAGAACAAAGAAAACTCATCTAAAAAATCAGAGTAACGACCTGTTGGACGATACTGGAGCGTGTAACAAAAGTAATTTCCCTCTGGGATTATTAAAGTATTTCTGATTCTGATCAGTTGCAAAGAGATGTAAAAAGAACAGCACAACCAACAGACATGGTACGAGACATACCATAAAGTAACACCTAGATACTAGGGCTGGGCGATAATTCAATAACGATATATTTCGATCGATAGACGTGTGGCGCAATAGAAAAATAGAGGGTCGATAAAAGTTCGATAAAGAAACGCAGTTTTCCTTCCTTCTCGTTGTAGCCTATCAAGTAGGTTTATGCTAGTCACTACTTTCTCCTAACCAATCGCAATCGCGGACCAAGGCAGGCCATCACAAAGCGCCGCCCTCTCAAACCACAACACAGAGCACATGAAGATGTCGCAGCAAGGAGAGGTGGAGGAAATTGTTCCAAAGAAGGGTTTTTGTAGTTCGCCAGTTTGGCAGTATTTCAGTCATGGCAAGTCGGACAAAAAAGAAACCACAGTCATCTGTAAAATGTGTCGGGAACCAGTGAAAATGAAGTCTGATAACACAACCATCTTTTTTTTTTTATAATCTCAGCCGCTCACACCCGCACGAGTAGGAGCTGTGTAGGCCCCGGCGCGGCTCTCCTCAGGAATCTTCGGGAATTTCACTGAAAAAAAAAACAAACAAAAAAACAAATGAATATATATATATATATATATATATATATTCAGTTCTGGGCAGTTTCCCACGTAGTTCTAACAATTGAGAGAAAAATGCTGAGGGGCCAGAAACTTCAAAGTAATAACTCAGGTTAAAGCAGGAAACTAAGCTGAACCATAACGAGGTGCCAGTAGCACCTCTAGAAGAATAGGGGTGAGAAAAAATACCCCATAGAAATGCTAGGCTAAAGGGTGAGTTGATTTGGGTTTTTGGTTTTGTTGAGTGGAGTTTAAATGGTAGCCTAGTCCTACAATCTTTTAATTACCACAAGCTGGTGGTGTACTATTCCCACCCAAATAGGGTATTCTATTTATGTACTGTATTTTCACGACCATAAGGCGCACCGTACTAAAAGGTGCAGTCTCAGTTATGTGTGCCATTTCTGTATTTAACACACACATAAGGCGCACTGGACTATAGGGCGCGTTTTTTATATACAGGTACATGTCCTCTACTACATTTAAATACCTCTACTGCGTATTTAAAAATAGAGCGGGAGCAAAACTGAGTATGATTGTGCTTTATTCATGTATTTATTACAAAGTATTAATCAAACCTGGGAGCTGGCCGTGAGACAGACACATCGCAGATGACAGAGCGCTGTGATCACTCCTAAATGAACTTAAAATCCTGAAACCTGCCGACGGAATATTTTCGCTTTTATTACCGGTATCCTGGTGCCTGCAGTTTAAATTATTTAGATGAAAAACACCTACCAGCCGCCGCGGTGAACCCGGAGGCTGCCCAGCCTAGAGGCTGCTGCTGAAGGGATTTCTACTGTCGGTGTACCGCTGGTATGTGGGGGTCTGAGCGCCTCCGACAGAAATAGTATCGGCAGGATGATAATCTGGATGAACTGACTGCAATTATTAAGTTTTCAGGTGCACTTTCTCACTTAAAAACATATTAAAACTACTTTATTCCCACTGATCACAGCAAATATAGCTTTAGATTTAGAATATTTAGATGAAAAAACACCTGCCAGCCGCCGCCGCGGTGAACCCGGAGGAGACCCGGCCCAGAGGCTGCTGTTGAATTAAGTTTTCAGGTAGAAAAATAGAGCGGGAGCAAAAGTGAGTATGATTGTGCTTTATTCAAGTATTTATTACAAAGTATTAATCAAACCCATCGAAGTAATCATCCTCTGTTTCTGAATTAAACAGCTGCGCTAAATCAGACTTTCCAATTTCCCCTTCTTCGCTGTCAGAGTCA